TGCATTTGTGTGTTTGAATAAAAGCACGTGTGCTCTGATTGGCTGGCACTTCCAAAGACCAACGGATCCGTAGTTCAGTTTGGCAGCTCGTGACGTCACTCCAACCAAAGTGAATGAGAAGCGAGCGTGTCAAAGCCTGAAATGCATCCATGTGAATCCTGCCTCACAACATCCTCAGAGCTTCCTCAGCCTCGGGTCGAGATCATGTGTTTCCTTATCTGTGGCATTACCAGCATGCGTATGGTGGTCAAAACTGACGGCTGCGCATGTTAGATAAACGTGATGTTGCATGTGTACTTGTTTCTTTCACAAGGTAAGAATAAGACTCAGTGACAAAGATCAGTTTGTCAGAAGGACAGTAGCAGCAAACACGGACTAGATTTAACTACATTCAAGTAAAATTAGTGATACTAGGTCTTGATAATATTTCACTACATGTCAGGAGGTTTTGGCCATTTTCAGTCTATTTTTATCCACTTTTGATATTTATTGACTTTACAGCATTTGTACTTCAAATCACAATTAACCCCAGAAAATCTATTATTTTGAGCCTCAACAATGCTGTTTATGTGGCAAAGTAACATCATGAACACACAGGCTGCATTGCTCATTAAATTAACTGTTGATGGTTAGTAGTTGCAGGACCTGCAGAACGTCTCACTCCTATCAACACTTTTCATGTTAACTTGCCCCACACTTTAGTCCTAGCGCTGTAACGGCAGATAATCATCACACATCTGTAAGAAAAATAAATACCCGCAGCCAATCAGACTGGTTTATGTCATTATTAATGGTAGCACTGGTTTGGCTGTGGCACAGAGCAGAAAAGGATGTTGAGACATAAAGAAGAGTGACCTGAGGATTCCCTTGGGAATGTTTCCAGAGAAGGCCGGCAGCACAGGGATCATGCCAAAGGATCTCATCCGCTCTAAAATCTTAAACTGGAAAAAGTGAGAAAAAGTGACGTGAGACGACTGAGTCCACAGCAGCGTCTCAGCGCACATTCAACTTGGTTTAAACACAAATGGTTTTGGTCCATTGACATGTGTTGAGGTTTGATTACTTGAAGGTAGAGCTGGTACACGTGCCAGGACTGCGGCAGAGGTCCACCAAACTTGAACAAGTTTGCCATACGGTTCCAGGCAAGGAACGCCGGACCGGAGAAGAACTCCTCTATCTCGGACTGGTTTAACCCGAGAGCACGGTAAACCTAAAAACAACAAGAGCAGCTGCTAAACACTCAGTCTGCATTTTGTTTCTAGTCCCAACTTATTTCAGTGTTAACCAAAGCTTCCTAGACGTCTTATGTACTGGCTTCTGGCTGAGCCTGTTCTCCAACTTTAACTTCTTCCCCGTACTGCTCAGAGAACTATGCCAACCAGCTGAAGTACAACAGCTGATCTAGTCCTGATTCATATCATTGTGAGAGCTGCAGAAAAAAACCCAGCTGAACTTGACTTCCTCACCTCCTGCCACAGGGCTTCTTGGCCAGTGAACGCCAGCGGCAGATTGATTCCATTCAGTGCCATCCAATCGATCTCTCTCTCCCATCTCGGCCAGTCCCACCACACGGAGGAATAACTAAAGGTGCAGACGTTCTGATAGTACCGGAATCTGGATACAAATACACAAATATGTGGCTTAGAAATGCATTTTATTTAATGCAGAAATATAATACAAATGTAGTATAATGA